CATAATTGCAGAAAACTATCAGTCCAGAAGCGCCAAAAGTGACAGTATCGATAGTTTCTCTGGCAGCAGCAATAGTTCTACTGACAGCACCTGAGACAAAGGATCTTCCGATGCCAGAAGATGTAAATGACTTCGATCCAGGACGCTTCCTACAACTGTTCGGATATCAGAAACAAAGAAAGCAAAGTGTTTTTATGGCAGCTGAGAATGCAGCAAGTAATCACTTCTACATCTCTTCCCTTTCATTCGAAAATTTTAATTTGTAATTTAACGAAGTTGAACTATATTTGGAGATGTTAAAATCGGATAAGCGTTCATGAGTTTGTGCCGAGATTATTGTTGCTAATATATTACTTGGAAGTAGTGCGATCAGTATTGCAACAATCAGAAAGGTTATCCTTACTGCGAATCGGAAACATCGCAAAGCTAGTCTGTAATCCTTATTTCATCTCCAAGAAAATACCTCGTAATTTTAGTCTTCGAAGAATGGACAACGGTTTGTTTATCATTACTAGCCTTCCTCGTCTTGAAAGTGATAATCCAAGATGTTTATTGTTTTTTCTCTTAAAATTAAACAAAGCCAAATTTTATTATAATTAAAAATAATTGCACTATTGATTTTTTTAATAAAGGATAAAATGGGTTTTTTTTTCTTTTTTTTGAACTCGATTAATATATTATCTTTTCACAGGTACAACGAATCGAAATGCAGCTGAGGAAAAGGATTAAAAATAAAAATTGATGATGAAAAAAATGAAATGTAATGAATTCAAATATTTTATGCATTTCAGAAATAAGTTATACCTCATTTCTAATATCTTTCACTTAAATTTATTAATCTATTTACCGGTAGTCTGTTTATACCTCCACTTCTTTTAAGTTTCTTTTTCTCGTACTCTGGTTTTACTCATTAAACTTCACAAATTGTTTATTATTAGTATTCCTCGTTCTGAAAATGATAATCCATGAAATTATATTTCTTTTTAATTATTATGCCTATTTTATGCGAAGAAGTTCGCATAAAATAAGAATAATAATTAAAGAGAAGGGTATAAATGAAAAATATTTTCAAAGTATATCACATTAGATTTTAACTTCAAGTTTTGTATTTCGATTATTTCTGATAATGCCATCTCATTTGTCCCAATTTATTCAAAAAAGATTTCAGTCAGACTCACGTTTTTGATACCGATGCGCATTATTATTTATCATATATTGATATTTTCAATGTGACAGCTGAGAGGAATTAATGTTTATGATAAGGACAGAAAACAGATATTGTTCTTTTTTATTAAAAAAGTTAAATTCCTACTACAATTAAAATTAATTGCACTATTAACTGTATGGAATAAATCAGTTTGGCATGTTCTTGCTGATTAGCGATCCATTTGAAAAGTTTAAAGTTAGCATAATTAATACATTATAATATTATACTATTATTTTAAATTCTTCACATTTATCAAAGTTTATAAATTTTGCTGCTTACTGGTATCTGTCACACGCTTGCATAATTTATCAATTTTGATAGGAGTTTGTTATTTTTTATCATTTTTCGCGCTCCTTCTTACCTACATTAAAATCTAGATCAAATCATATTTAAGAGGTTTTTTGAAGAAAATTGAAAATTTGATGAATGTAGAACACGGTAACATATGGGATAAATGTTTTTTGAATTGTAAAAAAAAAAATTTAAGCAGACGACAGTTGAATGTGGAAGCGCTTTGTGAGAGATAGCTTTAAATTAAGACTAATATAATTGAGAACTTCAACAAAATATATGTCAATGAGTATTGCATAGCATAATGGAACTTAATCATTTCACAATGCCATAAGGACGATTTATCAAATGGAGGTGTCTCATGAATTTAAATAATGCAGTTTTGGTTTCACTTCCTTTCTACTATTTACTAGTTTATTCTTAAAAACTGTTCATTTACAGATGGAACGTGAAAGACGACGATTACGAGCACTGAAAAAAGAGCACCGGAAAAAGGAATTAGAAGAAGCAAAGGAGGACGAGAAGAGGAAATGGCTTTCTTTTAATGCAAAAGCAGCAAGTCGAAGCATGAAAGTATTTTTTTGATCTTTCTGAATTTTTCAGTAATAGTGCTGGTCATGGTGTTTATATCAACGCTTGATTCGAATTTTCACTCACAGTATAAAAATGAAAAAAGAAATGAAGTAAGAGTGAACAAATTTCTACCGTGAATTGGAATGTGATTGAAATTTGTTATTTAGTATAAACAGTACAAACCATACATTCTTTGTTATA